CTACAGAATTTTTTAGAAGCCATGATGAACAAATTGCCTATTTCAGTTGTCACCGATGGGGATAGGGCAATGCAAAGGGCTATCAAATCTGTTATCCCTAATGCTAAGCACATATTATGTTATTGGCATCTTTCTCGCAATGCACAAGCTAACATTGGTGACCCAAAATTTACAGCAGCATTCTCAAAATGCATGGTTTCCTGGTGGACAACCGACGAATTTGATATTCAATGGCGTTCAGTTGTTTCAGAGTTCAACGTCGAAAAACATCCATGGGTGATTGAGAAGGGAAATACTCAGTACTTATGGGCACAAGCATATCTAACCGGTCATTTCTTTGCTAATATTCGCTCAACACAAAGGTGCGAGTCTATGAATGCTTCACTCGCAATTGTACTGAAACACAAGAAGACATATTTAGATGTTGTTCGTGCAATTGAAGATGGAATTAGTAGAATGCGTCTGAACGAGTTAAAAGCGGATTACTTAAGTTCCCAGACGAATCCCTTCCAGATCACAAAACTGGTTGAATTTGAAAGTCATGCTTCTGAGATTTATACGCACGAATCTTTTCGTGCGTTCTAAGAAGAACTTCAACGGGAGACATTGTACCAGATTCAGGAAGAGATTCAGTCCTTATCAGATGAATGTCAATATTTTTATTTGAAAAAGTACAAAGAAAAAAATAGGACATTTGAAATTAGTTTTGATTCTCGTACAAAAACCCTAAATTGCTCATACAAAAAATTCAAGACAGTTGGACTTCTATATCGCCATCAACTTCACGTTTTGAAGCACTTGGATTACACATATTTGCCCGGGTCTTTGATTCAAAGTAGGTGGACTAAGGATGCGAAGGCTTCTGCACCCAGTTTTGTTGATTTGAATGTGCCTCCAGAAATAATGCAAATGGCAAGGTTTGCTTCTCTACGTGCAACAACAAGTATGTTATGCTATGCTGCATCAAAGACAAACTCGTCTTTCAAAACCGCAAGAGATGAGATGAAAAGATTAACATAAGAATTTGAGAACTCGTTTGGTTTGATTGATTCAGTCAATCGGAGTAGTGTATTAAACAACTTTCACGGCCCTCAACGAAAACAACGCAAGCGAAAAGAAGTAACAAAGAACAAGGTCGAGAAGAAAATTAGGCGATGTGGGTTCTGCAACGGTGAGGGACATAACAAACTAATAAGTCCTCAAGTCAAGCTGGGTTTGAATACAAGCACGCAACCTACTTCAACTGATTTTTTTGAAGACGAAATGGACTGGTCATTCAGTCCCGCACATGATGTTAGAGACATTTGGAATAATTCAGACAACGATCTCCATATATCCTAAGTATCAACATGGCTCCTACTGTGTATAAGAAACATGTACAACAACATAATGTTATTGCAAATAAACACATCATTCAATCATGTTTGAACATTACAACTATATTCGTATAAAATTAAAAACAATTCTTCAACAACTGAATACAACTATTATATGTAATGTTCAATCATGTACTCCTTACGTTGTAGGGATTCAATCTCTAAACCCTCAAAAGAAAGCTTGTCTTACCAATTCATAGCTTACCATTTGGACCCTGAAAGGGTGTTTTATTGGCTATGCAGTCAACATGATTATGAGCTTCCTTTATCATTTTGCATTTAGTCAGACTATAGAGATTTGAAATTTGTAATCAATTAAAAGATCTTAAACACTTGAATCCAATTACCATTTCAAGAACAATTACATGAATACATTGATACTTACTGGTCGCTTTCGATTTTCTTCAATGTTGATACGCTGGGGCTCCATTTGAAAGTAATCGTCGTCGGAGTGGAAGAGTTCTGTCTTTAGGGTTTTTTTGATTTGGGTTTTGTATATATAAGAAAAAAACACGCGTAATTTTAAAAAGTATCGACACTAATTTAAAAAGTGTCGATACATTATGTAGACCTATTTTCTCATAAAACCGATAAATTTAAACCGGTTACATTGTAAAGTGACCTATTACATTATAATTATAGGTTTCGATGCTTTTAGGATAAACACTTTTTCTAAATGTATCGACACTTTTTCGTGAACTTGTTTGGAAAAGTTATTATGGACATAAAGTGTCGACACAAATGTATAAAGTATCGATACATTATGTATACCTTTTTTTTAATAACCGGTATATTTAGACTGGTTACATTGTTATGTTACCTATTACATTATAATTACGGGTTTCGATGTTTTTGGGATCGACACTTGTTATAAATGTATCGACACTTTTTCGTGAACTTGTTTGGAAAATTTATTATGGACATAAAGTGTCGACACAAATGTATAAAGTATAGATACATTATGTATACCTTTTTTTTAATAACTGGTATATTTAGACCGGTTACATTGTTATGTTACCTATTACATTATAATTACGGGTTTCGATGTTTTTGGGATCGACACTTGTTATAAATGTATCGACACTTTTTCGTGAACTTGTTTGGAAAATTTATTATGGACATAAAGTGTCGACACAAATATATAAAGTATCGATACATTATGTATACCTTTTCTTTAATAACTGGTATATTTAGACCGGTTACATTGTTATGTTACCTATTACATTATAATTATGGGTTTCGATTTTTTGGGATCGACACTTGTTATAAATGTATCGACACTTTTTCGTGAACTTGTTTGGAAAATTTATTATGGACATAAAGTGTCGACACAAATGTATAAAGTATTGATACACTATGTATACCTTTTTTTAATAACCGGTATATTTAGACCGGTTATATTGTTATGTTACCTATTACATTATAATTATGTGTTTCGATGTTTTTGGGATCGACACTTGTTATAAATGTATCGACACTTTTTCGTGAACTTGTTTGGAAAATTTATTATGGACATAAAGTGTCGAACAAATGTATAAAGTATCGATACATTATGTATACCTTTCTTTTTTAATAACAGGTATATTTAGACTGGTTACATTGTTATTTTACCTATTACATTATAATTATGTGTTTCGATGTTTTTGGGATCGACACTTGTTATAAATGTATCGACACTTTTTTCGTGCACTTATACATTCTGGACAACATGTATCGACACAAATGAATAAAGTGTCGATACATATTGTAGACCTATTTTCTCATAAAACTGGTAAATTTAAACCGGTTACATTGTAAAGTGACCTATTATATTATAGTTACGGGTTTCGATGTTTTTGGGATCGACACTTGATATAAATGTATCAACACTTATTTGTGAACTTGTTTTGGTTGGAAAATACATTATGGACACAAAGTATCGACACAAATGTATAAAGTGTCGATACTTTATGTATATATCTTTTCTCATAATCCGGTATATTTAGATCGGTTACATTGTTATTTTACCTATTACATTATAATTATGGGTCTCGATATTTTTGGGATCGATACTTTTTATAAATGTATCGACACTTTGTTCATGCACTTGGTTTGGAAATACATTCTGGACAACATATATTGAAACGAATGAATAAAGCAAATTCATTATGCACATTATAATTAGTGTTGATATTTCAACAATCCTCAAATGTATCGGTGTACAAAGAAGCAAATATGGATATTTGCTAAGACTGTATAAGTCACATGTTATAATGTAATATTCATATTAAAAGACACAGTTACTGTGTTATATGATTTAGTTTTTTTGAATGGAATGAAAATATACACACAATATAATCAAACCATAACATACATACACAAAAAATTTCTGGATAACAATGTTCAAATAATGTACCTACAATGAAATTAATCTGATGGAAAAGGGTTATCGCTAACGAAGTCCGGAACATTAGGCGCCTTCAATAAATTTTCCAAATACTCGCGTGTGTTACCACATTTTTCTAAGGACATATATAAATAATTTCAATAATCAAACTAATCAGGTGCAATTTTACTAACAAGAAACTAAATGAGCATAATCAGGAATAAATTTATGTCATACTTAGAGCATCGTCGTCCGAATGGGAAGCAGCGTCGAAAGAATGTGGACATATGTAATTGTTTATCTAATAAAAAACATAAATTGTTAATCAATCATTCTATGAACAACTGTTTAACTGGAAAAATATGGCATAACTGTAACTTACCGGATTATGAATCATTTTTCGCGGTGAATCATCGACCAACAGTGTATTTAGGACGTTAAAATCAGTAAACTCGTTCCAAACATCATTGAGATCTTTACAGTATATAAACTTATCTATTGTTTTGCACTTTCTTTGATCCTGTTTACAAACAGTCGAACATAAATATGTAGGAATCTTAGACAAATTAAAGTTAGCAAAGTGTAATGACAATCATCTTACCCAAACAAATAGAAAGTGGTCAGAGAACGAACGTAGTTTATCAAGTAAACGGTCCATGTTATGCCTGAGATTGTAATCAAGTTTGAATGTTAACATTTAATTGTATATTAAAGATTTTGGCTATAGTAATTTGAATTGCTCAATAGTTCTAACCTCATCTTGGATGGCCAAATGACAACAACAAAATTCTGTGTACAAAATTGCATAAATTCATATAATCCATTTCTGAGGATAACATCTGCAACATGAAGAAAATGAGATTAAAGTTGTGCGCTTATATGTTAAAATAATGGATACAAATTAACATAATTGAAACCTTCTGGATGTCTTGGGATGTAAGCAAGGACACCATTGACATAAAAAATTACTAGTTTCTTGCAGCCGGCGTTGCAGACACGATATACTTGTTTGGATCATCATCATCATCTTCATCTTCATCGTCATCTTCATTGACCGCTTGGTTGTCCATATCTGTTAAAAGAAAATAAAATACATTTCAGAACGTGTAAATGTTTAGAAGCATAAATAATTAATTACCTAACTCGTTTGATGTCGTTGACGTAATTCGTCACGTAACATGGAGACTTCATTGCGCAATGATAAAATATCGGCTCGCATTCCGCTCACAAGGGAATCAATATGCTCCCGAAAATTAAACATGTATTCCATAACTGTCGTAATTGTGACATCCTGTCCAACTTGAGCTTCTGGAGCTTCTGCAGCTTCTTCCATCATTACGTCTCCTCCCCCATCTCCCATTGGTTTGTCGTCTTCATTGTCCTCCCTCTCTAGATCTAATCTGACATCCTTGACACTCTTCCAACCGACCGGGTTAATAGAACAGGGGCGTCAAGCGAAAAATCAACTTCTTCATTTTTCAACAGATGGGTGATGACACATCCATATGGTAGTGAAGTTGAAATTGATGCTCCCTTTGTGACCATATATACAAATGTTTTAAACATCAGTTTAGCAATGTTTGGAGCCGTTTTGGATCTATACTTTGCTATCCACCAATAATCGTTGTCTAGAATCGTTGAATGTTTTCCCCCAGAAGGCCGAATAAACCAAGTCAGCATTTTGTGAAACACTCTCGCCTCTACATCTAGGTGAATTGGGCTATTTCTATCAACCCGTTGTATTGTAGTATCTAAATCATTTTCATCTGAATCCCCTTTATTCTCGACACCTATACCCGAAGCAATAGTCTCCAGATATATATATATATATATATATATATATATATATATCATTCCCCATGACATGGGTATTAATTCCTATTATATTATTCTTATTAGGCTCATACTGGAAGGAAGCATTATTGTAGAAGACTCTAACTAGGTTGGGGTAATACTTTGGTTCTACACCAAGGAATTCAAGCCAACCCCACGATGTAAATGTGAATTTAAAACTAAAATCATATTTACCATTGAACAAGAAACCCAAGTCAATGACACATTCGGGACAAATCTTCCTTACTTTAAAACTTCTTTGCCATCTTTCTTTCTCCGCATCGGATCTAAAGTTCTCACTGTCGATCGACCTGATTTCCTCAAAAGAGCTGGGTTGAGAAGAGGTGGGTTGAGAAGAGCCCTGATTCTGACGCTTACGTTTTGGAGCCATTTTCGGTATGGATGTTGTTACATTGGAACACAAACACATTAAGGAAACAAAAGTGACCAATCTGCAAATCAAACAAACCCTAATTTATGGCAAAATATCAACAAATTTACCTGAATATCTGATCGTAATTGTTATGAACGATGGTATTCGTCGGAGTCGATGAGTTCTCTTCTGTCTTTAGGTTTAGTGTTTTTCGATTTGGAGTTTGTATCATATAAATAATGAATGAAAAAAATGCGAGTAATTTAAAAATGTATCGACACAAATTTAAAATGTATCGATACATTATGGTAACCTATTTCAAATTAAATATGTATATTTATACCGGTTAGATTACAAAATGACATATTACATTCAATTTATGAATTTCATTCGACACTTTTTTGTGCACTTTTTGACCATTTACATTCTGGATAAAATGTATCGACACAAATTCAAAGAGTGTCGATACTTTATGTACACATGTTTTCTCATAAACCGATGTATTTAGACCGGTTAGATTCATAATTTACCTATTACATTATAATTATGAGTCTCGATGTTTTTGGGATCGATACTTTTTATAAATGTATCGACACATTATGGTGACCTTGGTAAGAAAATCATTCTGGACACAAAGTATCGACACAAATTAAACAAGTGTCAATACTTTATGTACACTTGTTTTCTCATAAACCGGTATATTTAGACCGGTTAGATTGATAATTTACCTATTACATTATAATTATGGGTCTCAATGATTTTGGGATCGATACTTTTTATAAATGTATCGACACATTATGGTAACCTTAGTAAGGAAATCATTCTGGACACAAAGTATCGACACAAATTCAACAAGTGTCGATACTTTATGTACACCTGTTTTCTCATAAACCGGTGTATTTAGACCGGTTAGATTCATAATTTACCTATTACATTATAATTATGGGTCTCGATGTTTTTGGGATCGATACTTGTTATAAATGTATCGACATATTTCTATGCACTTGGTAAGGAAATCATTCTGGACACAAAGTATCGACACAAATTCAACAAGTGTCGATACTTTATGTACACATGTTTTCTCATAAACCGGTGTATTTAGACCGGTTAGATTCATAATTTACCTATTACATTATAATTATGGGTCTCGATGTTTTTGGGATTGATACTTTTTATAAATGTATCGACACATTTCCATGCACTTGGTAAGGAGATCATTCTGGATACAAAGTATGGACATAAATTCAACAAGTGTCGATACTTTATGTACACTTGTTTTCTCATAAACCGGTGTATTTACACCGGTTAGATTCATAATTTACCTATTACATTATAATTATGGGTCTCGATATTTTTGGGATCGATACTTTTTATAAATGTATCGACACGTATGTTTACCATACTCTCATTAAACCAATATTTTTTACCTATTACGTTTGGGAACCATACTTGGACAAAATGTTGGAATCAAATATGTGTTTATTAATTTTTTCAGTGTTATTGAACATACCTAAATATGGAATGGCCATTCAGTCCCGCACATGATGACAATTATGTTAGTGACACTTGGAATAATGCAGACTCCTACTGTGTATAAGAAACATGTACAACAACATATTGATAACTTTTCCCATCTCATATATAATTACATTCACATACAAAATTATAAATTGTATACAAAATTAACCCTACATTTACATCATCGATTCCTTTTGTTATTCTTGTGTAGCATGGCAGCGTTTGTCATCTTCTCTTTTAGTTGATTTTGATTGTGGCATACGAGATCGTTTAATATTCGCATACGATCCCATTCTCCAACAACCTATATTCAAATTGTCAGTACGTTAATTATTGTAAACCACAGCATTCAATCTACGACTTTTAACAATGTAACAGCAAACTAATTTTTAATTCTACTTACAAAATCACCAGTAGCCCCGCTAGAACCGATCGATTCCATCCACATCATCACATAGATGCCGCAATCATATTCATTCAATTGTTCGGTCATCTTATGCTTCACGAATTTGAATCTTTACAAGGGGACTTTTCCTAGAGAGCCACATGCTTCTACCCAAATGTGTTTCTCATTATAACTATCTAATATTTTCATCTGCATTAAAAAATATGAAGTTATGATCCAAACAAATTATGAATTATAATTTACATAATTTCCTTTAATACATACCAATCTCTTAGCAACATTCACTCTATGTTTAGCTGCTTCAGATTTAAACAGACTATCATATACAGTTCCAACATGTTTTACCATATCCAACACCAACAGATACCAATGTGAATTATTGTAGTTTATTGTGATCATGATCTGCAATTAATTTCACACACAATTTGACAAAATTTAAACTTATATATCCAAAAACATCATTTATGCCTATTCGTATGGTGTCTTACCTTCTCACAGTTGGTGAATTTCATATAGTTAGGCAACATGGCACCCCAAAAGCTCGCAATACCCTCAACATCACCGTTGTTGTCCAACGCCTGTTGTTGTAATTACGCGATAATCATTATTAATTTACCGTCTATAACATTACTTTTCAACATTTATTAATTTAACTTACCGCTAAATGGTATGGAATGTAGCCAATCATCCGGCCTGACTTTTTAGAATCATAGCATACTGTCCAGGCGAGCAAATCAATAACCTAACAAAATTAATTACACAAACAGAACATATTCAATAGGTTTTGTCTTTTAATTGATTTCTACTTACCACACCGCCAACCCATTCCATAGGCTTCAACGTTGCAACGTCGGATACTTGTGTGTATTGATTTCCCATTGAGATTACAGTATATCTGTAAGAATCATTAGGATTAATATCTTTTCATGATTAATATCTTTTCATGAAATATTTAAATATCACTCACAAAGCAATATAAGTGACTTACCCCGATTCTAACCCACTATTCCATAAATAATCACAAATTGCAGCTTCGACCGGTTCAATTCCGATTGAAATATCCGCTTTTACAACCTACAGTTTTGCATACAAATTTGTGTCACAACAACATGATAAAAATCAAATTAAGTTATCTTTTATTCAACTTACCTTCTGCTTCTTCTTCTGGGGTGCAGGACATTACGAATCTAAATATGCATCTATAACACTCTCCGATGTATAGATGTTAGTGACATCCTTTCTCCTCATTTCCTCTATCTTTTCTTCTTCCTCCATATTTTCTTCTTCAAATTTTCTCAGTTCATCGTATTTTTTCTCTACATAGCTCTTCATCTCTTTTATTTCACCCTTCAATTTCCCCCTTCATCCAAGTTTTTATGAACCACCTCCTTCACCCCCGAAAGTTCACTCCTTATTTCCACAACCTCCTTGACAACTCCATCAATTTTTCCACCCGTAAACAGATTAACTTCACCACTCAACACCTCAACTTTTTTCACCAATACATCTATATTTCCTTCCACTTCCATCTTATGCCTCTCATGTGTCTCTTCGACTCTTGATTGTCTTTGATGAATATCAAAAATGATTTTTTTAATATCAGCCAATTCAGACATCAAAATGTCGAATTTACTATGTTTTCCCTGACCGTAATCCCCCTGACCATCATCCACCCCTCCAACCATCTCTTTATCTGCCTCCTCTGCCTTCTCTGCCTCCTATACGTCCTTGAAAATAACCTTCAAAATTAAATTTGTATTAAGACATTGATTATATTCTTAATATTATTTAATTTCATTTATTACCATTTCTAGCTTCCTCGGTCTATCCACCTTCAACTTCACCATCACTCTAACCACTTTTTCCTTCCCATATGCACGGATGCGTGCCACTCCGTGTCTTTCATAAGCCGGCAAACTATCACAGCCCGACCAATAATCGAACAGTGCAACCTGAATTTATAATAAAATTAATCATTTTATATAATAACTATACAATCATTTTATATAAAAAAACAAAAACATTCTTCAACTCAGTTACCTCTAAGATTGCTATGCACCCTTTGAGGTATCTCTGGCTGCCCTTTTGAAAGGTGATTATTGATTTAATCAATCTCCAATGAACATATTCAGCCCAATTGAATTCACCCTTCAAGCCTTCATCGCAAATGAGCTTCATATTGTCCTTGTTCGTTGACGTATCACCCGTTGGACAAAGAAATATCCCGACAAGGTACAATAAAACTCGGGCCTTCAGCTCATCCCCCCGGTAAGATCCGCTTTTGATATCCTCTTCAACTTCAACATATGTCACCTTATGATTCAAACCATATTTGGAGGCAAGTGCTTTCCAGTTCTTACTCCTACAGACTTCTACAACACTTTTGCCTTTGTTTTGTACCCCCAAGACGACTGCAGCAGTCGATACCCCCAGAGGGAATGAATAATCGCTATATTTAGCAATACATTGTTTGACATCAAATTGCTCCATCAAGGATCGACACAATTCCCTCCAAATTGGTCGATCCTTTACTCCTATCAATGATCCAAACCCTATTTCACTCAGCACATTCAACTGATCATTCTTTTTAAGGTGTTCAATTAATGAATACACCCTTTTTATGCTGCACCTTGTCGACACATCCTACATTTTTTAACAATATATAATGTTATTGTTCTTATATATCTTGTATCAACGTATTTACAAGTTTAATGAATACCTTATTTTCATGTGCTTTCCTCTGTTCTTTGTATTCTTTACTATAATTCCTTAACTGTATGATGTAAGGTTCCTTTTGAGCATCACTCATCGAATTCCATTTCGACCTCACATCTTTTGTCACCTAATATTAAGCATAAACGTTTCTTAATCAATACATTAACGCTAAATAATACTCAATGTCAATTTCATTTTACATACCGAACCGCTGTGTGTGCCATCTTCCTTCATCCTTTTGCATTCGGCCTTACTGTCAACATTTAAAATTTGTAATCAATTTAAAGTTCTTAAATACTTTAATACAATTACCATTTCAACAATAATAACAAAAAGAAATTGATACTTACTAAAAGTACATATATCCACCCTTTGGTTGCTTTCCACCCATTGACTTCATTTTTCCTTCATATATCAGTTTACGCAAATCAAATCAAGTACTTGTATACAAAAATCGATAACCACTCTTGTGGTAAAACGATTGGTCTTCAAAAGAATTTGAATGGCCACTACAACAAGTGTCGGCACATTTATACAACCTAAAATATAATTTTCTACCTATAATATTATATACAGGTATCCATATTTATTTTCTACCTATAATATTATATAATAATCGGTCCCAAAACCTCTCTATTTCCTTCAAACGAATGGGAACACTCAATACTCCAAGTATCGGCACATTTATACAACCTATAATATCATTTTATACCTATAATATTAAATAAAAGTATCGATATTTATCATCTACCTAGAAGATCACTTTCTACATGTAATCAGTCTCAAATGCTTCTTTACTTCGAAAACCCTAAACAACAACACATAAAAACCCTAATTATTGTAATAATAAAAAACTAGGGTTTCAACAACGTACCTTTTGATTTGAAATGCAGCAACAAACAAACAAACTTCAACGTAGAAACGCCTTCTGAAATGCAGCAACAATTACGCTTCGATTTCAAAAACTCTATCTATTTTCAGAGGAAATTTAGCTATGCCTTTATATTTACATTGGATATGTTATTTATATTTAATCGATACAATTACATAAGTGTCGATACTTTTATGTGAAGTGTCGATACTTTCGATAGGATATTTACCTATTTCTTTGAAAGTGTCGATACTTTTTTACGCGTACTTATTAAAGTACCGACACTTTCAACATAACCGGTAGCGCTTTACCGGTTTTATCATTTTGATAACGGTTTTGTCATATTTTTACCTATTATATTATTATGGATCGATACATTTTCATAAAGTATCGACACTTTTTAGGTGCTACAACTTCTTCTCTTTTAAATTACGAAAGTGTCGATACTTATATTAATTTATCGACACTTTCAATATATCCGATAGCTTTTTACCGGTTTTATCATTTCGAGACCTGTTTTGTCATATTCTTACCTATTATATTGCTATGGATCGATATATTTGTATAAAGTATCGACACTTTATAGGCTCTATAACTTCTCTTTTAAATTCAAAAAGTGTCGATACTTATATTAACGTATTGACACTTATATTAACGTATCGACACTTTTAATATATATGGTAGCTCTTTACCGGTTTTATCATTTCGTGACCGGTTTTGTCATACTTATACATGTTATATTGTTATGGATCAATACATTTTTATAAAGTATCGACACTTTATAGGCGCTATTACTTCTTCTCTTTTAAATTCCAAAAGTGTCGATACTTATTTAAATCTAATCGATTCTTTCGATATATCCAGTAGCGGTTTACCGGTTTTATCATAATGAAACCTGTTTTATCTTATTTTTACCTGTTATATTGCTATGGAGCGATACATTTTTAATTTGTATCGACACAAACCGACAAGCTAAGTTTGCCGGTTGCCAAATTTTTTAATATTTTCTTCATGATTTCCACTCACAATATTTTTATTACTCGATATTTCCGGTAGCACTAAACCGAATTTGTTAAATATATTATAATGTATCCGGTAACGCCGTATATTAGCCCGCATTTCCTGAGACAATCCCGATAATATCAAGTTGAGTTTATAGTGAAAAATACTTGATGTGACCCAAAAAAATAGTATAAAGGGTAAATTATAAGTTTACTCACTGAACTTTAAAGGGTAAATTATAAGCTTACTCACTGAACTTTACTCACTCTCCTATTTCACTCACTGCACTTTCAACTTTTTCAATTTGTTCACTTAACTTTAGACATTAAACTTTTTTGGTCACTCGACCGTTAAATTTCTAACGTCGTTAAATTAAAATTGAAAAAGATTAAAAGTACATTGAGTGAAATAGGAGAGAGAGTAAAGTTCAGTGAGTAAACCTGTGACATGTTTTATTATTAAAATAAGCCACGTTAACACCCTGTTACTGAGTAAACGGTCGAGTGGCCAAAAAAGTTTAATGACTAAAGTTCAGTGAGTAAATTGAAAAAAAAATTAAAAGTACGATGAGTGAAATTGGAAAAAGAGTAAAATTCAATGAGTAAGTGCGTAATTTACCCTAATAGAGTAAGTGTGTAATTTACCCTAATATAAATAACATTTAAATATTTAGAAATAATTGTTATATTGTCTCACTCTATATATTTTGTTATAATTAAATACATGTGTCAGATGTAGGTTTTACCTCAAAATTTTGATCAAATTTTAGATTGAGTGAAACTTTTCTAGATTCGAATCAAACTAGGTGACGAGTAAATGAGTGTTTATATGATCAAACTTAACTGGATCAAAACTCAACCTATACTTATATTTTATCAAATTCAACGCTAAAAAAATAACATATTTAAAATATGATCATAAATTTTAAATATACTTCAAGCCATGTGCAAGATGTCAAAACTAAATGTTAAAAGACAAGATGCTTTAATCGATAAGATACAAATCTTTTTAGGAATCTCTAGAAATCAATTTAAAATCTGGACTTCGATGCAATTAAATCTCATAAGGTATTATAAATTTATAATAAATAAAGTTCAAAGTGGTCCATCATGGGAAAATCACATGGACAATCTTAATAAATTATCAGAAGGTAAACTACATGTTCAATATTTAAATTATTATTTTTATTCTATTTTGGTATCTAAACTTTATTTTCTTTTGAATCATATCTAACTTTTAGGTTATGTTTCATTTTGATACTCGTCATTAAAATATTAACATAAGTGATGATGTTGCTTTTATTTTACTTTTTTCAATAGTGATGTGGCATTACTTTATGATTATATATCAACAACACCGTTAAATTTTTTTTATGGTAGGGTACCAAATTAAAACCTAAACTAAACATTAGGTATAGTTTTAAAAATAAATAAAGTTAAGGTGTCAAAATAGAATAAAAGTAATAGTTTAGGTAATAAGCATGTAGTTTACCCGTTATTATACTACTACATTATTGTCTCGTTATGAAATGACCATCCAGCTCAGTTAGTAGAGCACAATGTTCTTAACCTTGAGGTCGTGGGATCGAGTCTCACGGAAGGCATTTCATAATTCGGAGGTCTCTTACGAAAGCTGCTCTCAACCTGGTGTTAGGAGTAGCCTACTATCTTACCTTCCCCTTACCCCATACATATGAAAAAAAGGACATCCATTATGGTCTCGTTATGGTAATAATGATAAGATGCTAGTCGATAGCCAGTTTCACCAACCACAATTGTCTTGACTAGTTTTTAGTGGGAATTAGATCATCATCACCTTGGGATGAAACTCCTCAACATCACCGTGACTCCACAGTAGACGACTGGAGAACTGGATGCCAAAAACTAGTTCTTGTCTGTCATAAGGAGGAAGACGGCGGCGCGTGATATTCAGTGAGAGTGGTCTATATAAATCAGGCTTGTTTTTGTTGCAGATGGAGAATACTTCTTATTTTGTTGCATCTAAGCACAAGCTGAGCACCTTCTTCTCCCTCATATTCCGTTCCCCCACTGCTTATCACCCTTTGCTAGCCTCTGCAATGTCCAGACTAATCATGCAAAATCAGGGGAACCGTTTGTTTGTTGACCAAGATGAGAACAATGTGCAGCAGCTTTTAAGGATGATGAACAGCGACAATCACCGTTTGGTACACTTGATAGTTGATATATATGCGTGTGTGTGTTCATTTATGAGTGTTTAAACTGAGCTGTTCTTTAACAGTTTTTGCCTTGTATCAGATTGAACAAGCTTGTTCTTCTTTATCAAATCTTGCTGGTGATGATCTCTATAGTGAAATGTTGATAAAATTCGACATCATGAAACCGATTGAATCTGTTTTGAAGTCTCCTGAACTTGAAGATCCAGTTTCTGTGCTGCAAGCTATGGCCACACTGGCCTATGGGTCTGATACCATGGCTCAGAAGATGCTTACTCCTGATGTTTTGAGATCATTGGAAAAATTGTTCATCCATAAGAACCCTGAGGTAAATTTCTGGGTTTTTGTTTGTTTGATTTATTCTCTGTGTTAAAAGGTTATGTATGATCTAATTAGTCTTTTATGTGTGGTCAGGTGCAAAGGCTTGCTTTGGTGGCTCTTGGAAATCTGGGCTTTTGTAGGGAGAATCGTCACATTCTTGTCACTTCTAAACGCTTGAGGGAACTTCTCATCTGCCGGACGGCGACGCCGGAGCCGCGAGTGAATAAAGCCGCTGCTCGCGCCTTGGCGATTCTTGGTATGTTTCTTGGATTTGGTTTTTGGCTTTGTTTTTGAGAATCTTTAGGGCCATAGGATCATCTTGTTCTGTTCTTTTTGTAGGGGAGAATGAATGCTTGCGACGTGCAATTAGAGGGAGACCGGTACCGAAACGAGGCATATGCATACTGTCGTTGGATGGAGGTGGGATGAAAGGCCTTGCGACGGTGCAGATCCTTCAAGAAATCCAAAAGAGAACCGGAAAGAGAATGCATGAGATGTTCGACCTTATATGTGGGACGTCAACAGGTGGCATTTTCGCTTCCGCACTTGGTATTAAGTCGATGAGCGCAGACCAATTGGAAGAGATATACAGAAATCTTGGTAACCATATGCTCTACATAAAGACTCATCATTCATCCACGCTACATTTACTTGTAGTTCACTTTGTCTATTCTGTTCTTCTGTTTTGACATTGCAGGGAAAGTTGTTTTCTCCGAACCTGTGCCGAAGAACAACAAAGGTGCATCTTGGAGAAACAAGTTTGACCGGCTTTATCGAAGTTCATCGCAGAATTTCAGGGTCGTCGCAAAAGGATCAAAAGTATGATCATCTCTGCTAATATATATCAATCTGTGCTTCTTTATTGGCTACTGCTGCTAGAGTTTCTTTCATGTCTTCTTTGAAAATGTATGTGCATGTCCTTTCTGTAACATATCGATAACTCGTACCTTTAATCCATTAATCATCGCAATCGCATCTGCTGCAACATATTTCGCTTTTTTTAGAGGTATTCTGGCATGATTGTTTGTTTACCTTTGTCTTTCAACAACAAATTGTAACACCTAGCATTACAGCATGATGCAGAAAAGTTAGAGAGGTTGCTACAGGACATGTGTGCCGATGAGGATGGGGATGACCTGCTGATTGAAACTGCTGTGAAAAACATTCCTAAAGTTTGTCTCGTGTCGACTTTAGCGAGTGTTACACCCGCTCAGCCTTTCATATTCCGAAATTATCAGGTTCGAGGTCATCTGTTCCTTTGTTCTACCATGTTGGTCCTATAGATATAAGTAGACTATTTGTTTATCCATCATGGTAATATCTTGGTACCTGTAGTAGTTTGTTAATACATTTATTTTTCTTAATGTACAGTACCCTGTGGGAACGCCAGAGGCGCCTGTTGCGACATCTGAAAGTTCGGGAACCACCATGCCAGGATCTGCAGCTACAAGTACACAGGTTGGATGCAAAAGAAGTGCCTTCGTCGGAAGCTGTAAACATCTTTTGTGGCAAGCTATAAGAGCATCTTGTGCTGCTCCATACTATCTTGATGACTTTTCCGATGGCATATACCGTTGGCTCGACGGTGCTCTGTTAGCAAACAATCCGACTATCTTTTCCATACGTGAAGCACAACTTTTATGGCCTGATACTAAAATTGACTGTATAGTTTCAATTGGTTCTGGTTCCTTGCCTACCAAGGTAATCTTTTTTTGTTCTGTCATGAGATCTGCTCTAAACGCATATAGACCTTTTCCGGTTACCTTGACCACCGGAAGTGTAAATCACCGTTTTGTTAGGCCATTACTTCCATACACTTACGAGTACCTCTGCTGCAGGCTCGAAAAGGCGGTTGGCGATATCTAGACGCGGGGCAAGTGCTGATCGAGAGCGCGTGCTCGGTCGATCATGCAGAGGAAGCTTTGAGGACATTGTTACCTATGCACCCCGAGATCCATTACTTTCGGTTTAATCCAGGTACGAATCGTCGGTTCAGTTCACGGTCTGTTGTAACTATGAGCTGTGTCATAAGATTTATACAATGCACGTCGTTGTCGCAGTCGACGAACGCTGCGGTATGGAGTTGGACGAGACCGATCCAACAGTTTGGATGAACTTGGAAGCTGCAACAAAGGATTACATCGAAAGGAATTCGGAATCGTTCAAGAACGCATGCGAAAGACTTCTTGTACCCTCTTAAGAATGATTGAGGAGTGGAGAGTTTTAATGAATCTCTACCACGCATGTTGTTGTTGTTCCATTGTAAAAGATCAACGTTGTAAAACATTAACATTTTAAATTGCGGTCGAGATCCATCGTTATCGGTGCGATTCTGTTTCACACCGCCATTTCCGACAATAATAATTTTACACGCCGCCGCTACTTCTATATAACAGCCGTTATTCCACTATCCGGCCGCCATTCGAATACCGGAGGTACTAAAGGGGAATGGAATAAGGCCCTTCTGTACCGAAGCAGACCAGAGCAGTAATAAAACATATTGTTTGCAGGAACTCTGTATTAAATCAATGGTGAATTTTTTAGGTTCTGTCGGGAAATTGTTAATTTCTTGGTGAAATTGTAATTTTCGTCCCTGTAATAGTATAATTTGCGATTTAGTCCAACTTTACTTTGACATATTTTATTATTATCCATGTTATATCATAGTACATGAACATTTATCTCGTTATTATTTCTTAATTAACCTCAATTCAAGCACAGATACAGAACCTCGTGATTAACGCCAACACTCCAAAACCACGTGGATCCATGAATCAGACAATAATTAAAAAAAAAATGAGAGACAGAGACAATGAATGAATGAGACAGGAGCTGCCCCAATGGACCTCACACCACGCATCCAGACTAACCTACATGGACCGCTATTCAACTAGTTGTTTAGGGTAAATTACGTGTATAGTATCTAAACTATCAGTTTTCATTTGTTTAGTACTTAAACTTTTAATTCTTTAAAATCATACCTAAAGTTTAGATTTTATTTTATTTTAGTAACCTATTCAAAATTTAACATTAAGTTTTGAAAAAAATTGAAAGTTTATGTACTAAAACAGATTAAAATTGGTAGTTTAGATACTAAACGCATTAAATTTTTAACGACGAGATACTAAAATGAAACAAAAATTAAATATTATATATGATTTTAAAAAATTAAAAATTTAAATACTAAAACAGACCAAAATAAATAAGTTACGTACTAAATGCATAACTTATCCAGTTATTTATTACTATAATCATTTTTTCCCAGAAAAAAACAAAGTAGTGGGAAACAAACTTTAATATACCACCTGCAAGTTCAACTTTCAACCACAAACAAAACTCTCGATGGACGGGTGATTCTGATAGTACGGTAACCTAATACAACATTTAAAAAACGATGATCGAAAATATGATAAAATTTAGAGAAAATCGCCTCAGTGACCAAAAAAAAGTTATAATATACGATTTTAATCAACTTTTTTTGGATTTGCCAAAATGACCAACAAAATCGCAACGCGAAATAAAAATCGCAACGCGATCCCCAGAATCGCAAATCAGTTTCCAAAATCGCAACGCGATTCTTGAAAATCGCAATGCGATAGTACAAATTCGCATTGCGATTTTCCAAAATCGCAACGCGAATATGAAAATCGCAACGCGAACACATAAATCGCAACGCGTATCCGTAAATCGCAACGCGTATCCGTAAATCGCAACGCGTATCCGTAAATCGCAACGCGTATCCGTAAATCGCAACGCGTATCCGTATATCGCAACGCGTATCCGTAAATCGCAACGAGAATCTGTAAATCGCAACGATAATCCGTAAATCGCAACGAGAATCTGTAAATCGCAACGATAATCCGTAAATCGCAACGAGAATCTGTAAATCACAACACTGAAATTTTGGGTATATAACACTGAAATCATAAACTAAATCCCTAAATCGCAACTCATTCCATCTCCATCTATCACTCTCTCCGGCGACATCCGTTCCTATATCCAACGACATCCTTCCCAATCCGGCAACAGGTTTTAGTTTCGCAGCTCGTCTGTTTAGTAAATTAATTTACAACCATGAAATCATCTAATGTTGATCATGTTTGGATAGATTTGTGTTTTGGAGGGTCATGGGATAATGTTCATGGTGTTTTACAATATATGCCTTTACCCATGAATCTTCAACTAAAATTGTCTTTACAAAAGTTAACTTATGAAACTCTAATGCTACGTGTTTCAAATAAATTGAATTTAGAGCCCCTAAGTGGATTTAGGCTATCTTATCAGAGAAATGGTAAAGTTTATTTGTTAACCGACAATGAAGATGTTGAACGATTCATTGCTTACATTAGTGTTTCACAAGATGATGTTACATTGTATGTTGTTGAACCTAGAAGTAGTATTGTTGGGTCAGTAGCGGGTAGTAATCAACTAAGTTTTTCTCAAAACCCACAACCTTTCTCTAATCCAAATCCCAATCAACTTTCAGCACCAAATTCCGGTTTTCGTATTGACCAGTTAGACGATGATGAGCCAACAGAAAAAATTGTGAGTACTAGTCAGTATTCGAAATTTGGTCTTGGTCAATATCCGGACTTTGATATTGGTCAATACACGGATTTTGATGATGTTTCAGAAGAAGAAACAGACCATGTGTGTAATGATTTTCATATTGGTCAATACCCGAATTTTGATGATGAAACACCCGTTGCCGAGGAAGATGTTGTTGATGATAATGAGGAGGAAGTTACGACTGTGAATGAACATGTTGAACATCCATTCTGTAATTCATATAATCCTGAAGAAGAAAAAGAAGAAGAAAAAGTCCCCGAAGAAAAGAAAATGCCACGGGAGTATAACTGGAATATGCCAGAATTACTTCAGTTACCGGAAGAAGAGTTGGCAAAGAAAGCAGTTGATTGTTACACAAAAGTTATTCGTGTCAAGAAAGATGATTGTTTTGATACAAAGGAAGACTTGAAGATAGCTTTGTATACGAAATGTGTGGAAGATGGCTATCAACTAAAAGTTAACAAATCAAGCAAAGATCGTTTCGAAACAAGGTGTATGATTGACAAAAACTGTACGTGGCGTATGATTGCAAAGAGAATAAAAGATTGCAAAATGTTTCAAGTTAGGACTTTTATTGATAAACATACATGTTCAAGAACCCAAGTTTTTCCTCACCATAGACAGGCAAACAAAAAGGTGTTGGGTGGTTTTCTGGCTGAGTTAATGTTTTTGAATGGCAGGGTATATCGGGGACATGAAATTATGACTGACATGAATGCTCGGTTCAAGATTAGTATACCATGTTCAAACACTTTGTTTCAAGTACTGGATAATAACTTAAATGGGCTAGTCGATCTAAATGCAAAGACGTGTAGTTGTATGAAATGGCAAACATCTGGTTATCCGTGTGGCCATGTTATAAAAGTTGCTCTTCATTTAAACCAAGATGATTCAAGCGCATACGCTATGGATTGCTACACTACAGAAGTTTATCGACAGACTTATGCCGAGATTGTCTACCCTATTCCACATCCTTCTGAGTGGGACATACCAGATGACTTACAAACAGTTTTGCCACCAGCCATGGACAGAAGGCTACCTGGCCGACCAAAAAGTCACGATCGTATACCGTCTAAGGGTGAAGAGAAGAAGAGATCGACATGTAGTCGGTGCAAGGAAAGTGGTCATACAAGGTTGACATGTGGATCACCAGTGCCATCAAAATCATCTTTTCCTCTACCAAAATATGGATCCTCATCAAAATCCAAAGCTCATATGGTGTCAAGCAAAAGGCAACCATCTTTAAAATCCCAATCACAATTGGCTTCACCTTTTGGGACTGTTAACTTAGGTGATTTTTAAATGCAAACGTTGTATTATGTGGATTTTATGTGTGAACTTTTAACATTTTCAGTTGAATTAATGACTCAGGCCAACCATTTTGACTTAACCAACTCTTGTTATTCAGTTGTTATCACTATTAGGCATGCATTTGACTATCGCAACACGGAAATTACAATCGCAACGAGAGAATCGCAATGCGAAATGAAAATCGCATTGCGATTCTCTCGTTGCGATTTTCATTTCCGCATTGCGATTTTCATTTCCGCATTGCGATTTTCATTTCGCAATGCGGAAATGAAAATCGCAACGAGAGAATCGCAATGCGAAATGAAAATCGCAACGAGAGAATCGCAATGCGAAATGAAAATCGCAATGCGAAATGAAAATCGCAACGAGATAATCGCAATGCGAAATTAAAATCGCATTGCGATTCTCCCATTGCGATTTTCATTTCCGCATTGCGATTTTCATTTCGCATTGCGATTCTCTCGTTGCGATTTTCATTTCGCATTGCGATTTTCATTTCGCATTGCGATAGTCAATTTTGCCTTCAACATAATGCAGATTGAAATCAACAAAATCAACCATTACATTTCAATCAATTAAACAAGCACAAATAAGAATTATATTCGCATCAATTACACAAATCAACTTTTACAAATCATCTTTTACAAATCAATTAAACAATCAAAAAATAAGCAATAATTCTTATTTCCGATCATCTACTATTGAATCAACTTTTACAAATCAATTAAACAATCAAAAAACAATCAATTAAACTATTGAATCAACTTTTGCAGCTCGACATCATTTTCACGCAGTTCACTTCTGAGATTAACCTGCAGAAACCAAACATTTGTTCAAACAACACTTTCTACACATCTAAAACCTACAAACAGCAAATTATTGAATTCTAGGTACTTAACCAAACATTTTCAAACCAAAAGTATATAAACTTACCAATTGTTTATGGACATTTTTATAACGCGGATGCAGGTAGGCAGCGTCTCGTATATATCGATTTAGCCATATAATGCCGAAACCACAAGCCTACTGCAGCTTTATCTCTATCGGTGGGAGGTAGATACTTGATGCTTCCCGTCGTCAAACGCTCCAACGCCAAGCATACGAGAGGACCACAATCTCCTCTGGCTCCGCTCGTTTGTTGTGGCGCGGTCTCGTCTCTAATAACTGTAATATTGAGCTTCTTTGGCTTCTTGTTTCCAGAACGAGTCCAATAATTGATCGCATCCAAGAATTTAGCCAAATGAGAGCTCCATCCCTTAATAACATCTCTTAAATCAGCCAATGATATGTAATTTATCATGCTGTCATACACTATTGTCTTAAGGGATGGGAGCTGAAGCTCGACGAGAATCCAATGTTTACGTTCCAAAACAGGGATAAACACCTGCAATCATAAGTAATAATTCATTCATTTGCGCACTTATTTCATAAAACCTTTAAACTCAATCTAAAATAAATACT